AAAGAAAAATAATATAATTTAAAAAATAATGAAAAAAAATGAAAAAAAGAATGAAAAAGAATTTATTTAAATAAATTTCTAGGGCATTTAAAAGACAGTGTTTTATTCCGCGAAAATTAGAATTTTCTCTAACTTTAGAGATTAAAATTAGAAACAATGAATAATGCGTTGATAAATAGTAAAAAATAGGAGGATAAAAGATGTTGGCGCGCTTATTAAAAGATTGATGATGAATTCATTAATACCATTTTATTTCACATTAATCGCTACATCGTAAGCCAATTCTGAGATAAAGGAAGACTTCATCGTGCTGCTATGCGTTCAAAGATAATGGCGAAATTTTCATCGCGGCATGAAATTTCAATTTCGCTCTGTCGTCCACCTTAGATTAGCGATTTTGCTCGCAGTCCGTCTGCGCGAATGTAGGGTGTGTGTGCGTGAAGATTGGTAATCGTGCGTGGAAAAGTGCGTCAGGGTGGGCGCAAAAGCGTAGTCGGCCTTATAAATGCGCACTTTTATCTTTATGTGCACTTTATCGACATTCCGAATCGAAACTTTTTTATAATTAAATTTTTATAATATTCGAAAATATCTAATGATATTGCATCTTAATCCTTTGGATAGAAACAGAGAGAACGTTTTCTCGTGCTATAAAAGTCCGTCAGAGTCCCGTAAGAATGATTATGTAACATCATAGGAATATTAAGCTTGTAGTAACATATCAGCGTCGCTCGAGCAGATTACTGTCACTCGCAATGTGACAACGACTCTCGTTCGCCTTCGAACAAAAATAAGACGATTTTAATACGACAATCGCGAAGGCGTTCTCTCGGTTCTAATCTCCTTCGTCACGGGGATTATATTTAATTAACGGTAGTTACGCTGCATCTTTCCGAATGCAAAACTAGGCAATTATCATAGATGCAAATTTAATGTAGAAAGTATTTTAATATATACAGGGTGTTCCAGGTAAGGTCAATGAAACTTCGGGGTCTTATAGGAAATTGAATTTGGAATAAAAAGGTTCCGATAAACATAGGTCCGGAAACGCTTCGTTAAAAAGTTACAGCTAATAAACTCTCTGTAAGTAATTAGTTACGATCAAAATTTAATAAGAACATTTTATGTTTGCATTTGCAATGTTTGCACTACGAATATAGTGTTTACACAAAAACTCTCGAAAGGTGGTTTTTCAAGTTCCTGCTTTTTTCGTTTTGAGATTATTTTCTTTTGAACGCCTTATCAGAATTAAATGAAATTGATATAATTTAGTTTGTTATTTAATTATCCATCAGATTTATTTGGATACTTTTTCAAATGAATGAAGGATTTTGAAGTTATTTTTAAAAATCATTAAAAAAACGTGATTTTTCGAAGTTTATTAGCTATAACTTTTTAACGAAGTGTTTCCGGATCTATGTTTATCGCAACTTTATTGTTCCAAATTCAATTTCTTATAAGACCCTAAAGTTGCATTGACCTGATCTAGAACACTCTATATACATGGTGTCCCCAATTTAAACGTCAAAATTTCGGGAGCGTGTGGGAGATCGATAAACTAAAACAAAAAGTTCTTTAGAGATTTTCTCGTTTTTGCTTCGTTTTGAAGAAAATCGCAAAAAATGAAACAAAAAATTTTCACCAAAGAACTTAAAACGACACTAAAATTATTAAGTTTATCGGAAAGTATCTTGAAATAAAAATTGTAAAGCATCAAATTAAGAAAAGAGAGTGAATTAAAATACTTGTGAGGTAAAATTAGGGGATTGTAAATAAATACGCGACAACGCGAAATTTTGTCTCTAATTTAATTTTACCTCAGGAGGATTCTAACTCACTCTCTTTTCTTAATACCATGCTCTATAATTTTTATTTCATGGTACTTTTTGATAAACCTAATGATTTCATTGTTGTTTTAAATTTTTGGGTGAAAATTATTTGTTTCATTTTTTGCGATTTTCTTCAAAATGAAGCAAAAACGCGCAA